GGGGGGTTGCTTCTTTTTTCATTCTTTTCTTTCTTTCCTTCTGTCATTGACTGTGCTGTAATCCTTTTTTATTTGTTATAGTTTACAGTGCATTTGAACCTGTCTAAGACTACCACCCATTGCCCAGTAGAAAAGAAGTCATCTTAGACTTGTGGCTCTCGTGGGTGGCAACATCATAATATTGTATTTTAAAAACAGAGGAGGAGGTGGTAACTGGTTGTTTGTACAGGGCATTGTATTGTACAAAATTGGTCGCCAGAACCGTGTTCAGTTATCGGTGTTCGTGATGAAGCGGGTAGGCTCTTAGCCGGCCTTTAAAAAAAAGAGATAAGTTCAATTGTCGTGATGGGATTTAAAAAAAATATTGTTCGTGTATGTCCGTCTTCTTAAGAGACATTGCAACCCACTCGTCCTGATTTTTTACTTGATACGCTGGTTCAAAGCTGCCCGAGTCTTAGATTATCTAAGTTGTATCGGTAGGTGGTTAAACACATTAATTACATTTCTAAAAATATTGTTTAGTATTAAGGTTTACAATCCTGTTCTGTCGGCGATGGGAGTTGATCTGGAGGCTACACCTCTTCAACAACTCTGCCATTTTATGAGTAATTCCAGCGTATATTTTTAATTTAATGTTTTCTTAAACCTAGATATGATGAATGTCGTGCCTGTTCCGACAGGTTTTTGCACCATCTTTTCTCACTCTACTTCAATTTTTATTGTGGCATCAACATTATGTGTGGTTGGCGAAGCTATGGCGTGATTTGCTCCTTCTGTCCTATCAGATAATTTATATCGTCATTATCCATCCTTCCTCTTTTCTTTGTATTTTTTCTCTGATTCAACATGTTACAATCGACACTTACATGATCTAATTGTGTTGCACGTGCCGTGAGACTATCAAAAAGACGAAAATTATGCATCCTCATCATCAGCCTTTCCAATCCCCGCCCGGAGTATAGGCCACCACCAAATGCTCTCTATCTACTTCTGTCCTGGGCTATAGCCTCCACCTTTGTCCAGCTGCATAGCATCTCTTTCTCGTCCAAATCCAAGTCCCTCTACCTTCTTAAGGCTTGGTGGGTGTTGTTTAATCGGTTTCCTCAAGGTATGCCGAACCCACTCTCACTTCCTGTGATTTCTATGTCTATTTTTTTATATTTGTTTACTCCTATAGCTGATCATTTTTTGGTGGTGTCAGGCCACCGTATTTTATATTAAAAAATTTTCAAGCAACTGTTGACAAATCGCTACCTCAGACATACAAATTTCTAACATTTTTGGCCGTTTTGAGTTACTAAGACCATGAGGTCAGCAATCAAATGCTCTATCTGCACTATCAAAACCGTAAGAATATTCGGGGTCGTTATCAAGCCTTTCAAAGAATTGCACTCGAACAAGCTTGACATATTGTGAAACTCCAACATGTTGACCTCATTCTCAAAACTAGGTATCGGGCAGATAGCACTTTGTTCTTCTGGGGTAGAGAAATGCCTGAACCTTTTTAGAACTTCACGAGAAAAAGGGCAATTTCATTTAATTTTAAATTCTTTACGAGGTCTCCTGTTCGAAATATGTGTATACCTTCGTTGCAGTTGTTCTTTGTGTCATTTCCTACAAGTGCACTATTTTTTTTATTTGGGATGAATAAAGTATTGTATCATAACTATGTGTCTCGCTTTCTTTAATTGTGTCTGACTTACTTTTTCCAATGGGGTCGGTTGCCTAGTGGTTGGCTACAGGACCCGTACTCGTGAGATTGGTAGTTCGGAGGTTCGAGCCCCAGCTCAGTCCTTCGTTTTGCTCTTGAGAATGGCACTTTAAACGAATTTCCAAATTGGCTCGTTCCCTTTGGGGATGGACGATAAACTGGGAGGTCTCGCCTTTCAAAAACTAAATAGTGTTGACAGTGGCGTTAAACCTATAAGATTTTATCATTTTTACTTTTTGTAGGCTTCAAACGAACGATATTGTGTCGATGTGTTTCCCTTGACTCATTCAAAGCCCAATGTTAACAATATTTTCTCTACTGTCTCTACATTTATTTGACGAGTGCACAACAGCGTTATTTAAGAAGTGTTGAAGAAGTGGCGTAAGCCTTAGATACTTACATCACAACATTAGATTATGTAGAGTGTTATGGATTGTCAGCAACTTTCACTGAAAGGTCCAAGTTAGCTTATCTCTATCTGAATGCTCTTGAACGTGGGTTGTGTGTTATTTTTTTGTTGGGGTTGGAGTTGCTTTGTTGTTGTTTTGTTGTTGTTTTGTTGTTGTTTTTTTAGGGGGGGTAGGGAGGGTAGGGGGATGCTTAGGCAATGTCTTAATGACGACCGAAGTCAAATATCATAATTGGACCTGTCCAAGATGAAAAACCATATTCAATAAAAGCTCGTTATACCGCCAGCCCCTCTTTCCTCCAGGTTTCTCAATGTGTACGAAAAATATAACCTGTATAAACACAGTGTCAGGTGACCCCAAAAAAACCTTTACCCACACGGAGTTATAGGCTTTCCTGCGGGTAGACGTTTTGGTCAGTAGATATTTGAGCGTTTACACCGCCATCTATTAGCTCTCTGAGTTGTACCGTACTATAGCTTGTTCACTTTTGTCTCTCTGTGTTTTAAAACCCTGGCTCATTTATTAATTTGCATACGCCCACGAAATATTGAATGGCACTTCTGCATGCCAGCTACCAATGGGCGGTTTTTCCCCAGAAATCGTAAATCTAATTGGTCGCTTTTAAGGACAAGCGGGCTAACCCAGATTTCGGAGGTTTCAGAAATCTTGACCTATACCAAAAGTGGGCATTGCCCTACCTATAGGAGAAGTTTGATTTCATTCGAGTGAATATTTTGTTTGTTTATAAAGAAAACTTTCCTTGACTTTTAAAGAAAATGAACAAGGGTCCAAAAACATTACCTTCGATTTTCTCATAACAGCTTTTTTCGGGATAGCCCCCTTGTGCTTAAAAGTGACCAATTATTATTAAAAGGAAATCTATATTTGGGCCGTATATTTGATAACCGCTCTTAGGGTAGATATACAGGATCTTGTTTTTTTGTTCAGCTACAGGGGCGTGATTGACTCATTCTGGTTACTGTGGGGTGATTGGCGGGTGCTCTGGTGCGGTTTGCTTCTTCTTTCCTATCAAACATCTATCGTCCTTATCCCCCCTTCTTTTTTATGTTTGTTACTCTCTTGTAACACCTCTAATCTTCTGGCGCTCATATGACCTTATGCAGTTGCGAGCGCCGAAAAACCTCTACTAAAACAAACATTCTGGTTACTGGACGAGGACGGTAAAACCACGTCATTTACATCACACGGATACCTCACCATACTGAGAAAGTTTACGAGAAGTTTGGGGAGAAGAAGGTGTTACCCGTAGAGGCCTGGTTCCAATGGCACTCCACACGCCAAGATTGCTCCTTGCATGGTTGCAAGATAGGTTTGGGGAAGGCCTTATGAGCCAAAAGTATACAAATGAATGGTCATCACATCCTCTTCCCCCAATTTGAGCTCATTCAATTATTACCTTTGTTTGGGGGGAGGGGGGCTGACAGATCGAGCCTATGGAAACAACCCACAAACACTCGAACAGTTGAAACTCAGAATTGAACAAGACGCCCAAAGAATAAACCCGGAAATGTGACAAAGGGTTATTCAAAATTTCCTGTGGCATTTTGGAGCTTGTATTGAGAGAAATGGCCTTCATCTGGAGAATTAAATAGCCTTCACCTCTATTATTTGACTATATCATTTTTCTATAATATTATGCTTTTCAATGCACAAACAGTGACTACTTGGAGTAGAACAACAAAGTTGACTTTTATAAGAAATTACAAAGTTTTGCATGTCACGCAATTTCAGTTGAATTTATTTCAACTTGATATTTTTGAAACATGTTGGTCAATTTTTGTTCATACTGACATGTTGCAATTCTATTTTTTCGAAATGTAGTTGAAATTGGTCTAAAGATGACCCAGTTATTTGCGAACTTTTTTATAATGAGACCTTATTTTTTAAACACCCGTTACACAAGAATACGAGTAAAACCTGCTAGCTTGCTGCGTGTCAGCTTCTCCTTTCTATAGTCGGACCATACTTGCAAAAGAGGAGAAACAACTTTCGAAAACCATTTCCACCAGATGAACATCTGACTGTGAAGGGTGCTGACTAAATGAGTTACTTCTCGGATTAGAGCCCTATGGAAATCGCTACATCACACAATATGATATGACATCAATTGAAAATCTACAAATTTGACCCTAATGCCGATTATTGGCCAATATCTCAATTTGTGCATTGGGAGAAGTAACTCATATTTGTCAGCTCGCCTCACATTTGATCGTCATACTAAAGTAAGAAATGTTACTTACAATTCGCCCATTTAGGCTTACACACCCCACATCAGTGTTGGTGCTAGCGAGGTGCAAGAAAATATTTACTACTGCCGTAAAGTGTCTTTCCCCAAATGTTTAGTTCTCGCATAGTGAAAGGCCGAGGCGAGGTTGGTGGCTCTACTGTGGCGTCGGTGGCCTAATGGTTAGGCTCTCGGACTCGCAACCGTAAGGTCATGGGTTCGAATCCCGTCAGGGGCCCGACGTTGTGTCCTTGGGAAAGGCACTTTACACGAATTTTCCTTATTTCACCCAGATGGGAATGGGTACTCGGCCATAGACCGCGAAAGATCTTGTCAGTTTGTTAGTGTTTGAGTCCTTAATCAGCTGCTTGCACTGTATGCTTCCCGGGAAGTTGAGAATGTTTCGGAGTGTTCTATGGTCTGCTGGGGTAATAGAGTGTAAAGCGCATAGAGCCTGCTGTTGAGCGGGGATATGCGCTATACAAATGCTATTTATTATTATTTATTATTCAGCCCCGACAATGCATTAAACATTTCCTGTAGACTAAATTCAATTCTCACCAAATTGGTACAAGCAAGGTTTGACTGTATATTATGTGTTCCAATCGTTATAATATGTATGAGTGTTTCAGCTGTAGAGAGCATTTATTATTCCTTTCAAATTGAACCACAGACGGCATGTTGCCAGTTTATAAACACTATGAGGTCATATGAACCGCAGTGTTAATGTTTTGTCGAACCTGCTCTTACGACCATTTCACCTTCGAGCTTTTTTCTATATGGTAATTCAGCACTTTCCAGTAGGACCCTCTGTCAAAGATGATCAATTTTCTCCAAAATAATGGGTGGTCGTTTTGGGTCGGTTCAACTGTATTTGACCTTGATCTTTTTTTTTTTTAATTTCCAAACAATCCAGGTTCAAGAGCATTCAGAGAGTGATTCGATCTAAGGCCATCCACGGTATTGTTCATTATGTTACCAACTGAGCCATCGGCCCGCCCCAAATATAACACTAATAGTAGTAATAGAGACAAGGACGCATTACCGTCAGTTCACAGTACAGAAAGCATGGGATGACGTGTTTCAATAAGCTTACTTTGACGCTTCGGTGAAAGTTGCTGACAATGCATGGCACCCTGCACAATATAGTGTTGTGACGTAAGTAGCTAAGGCTTGCGACCTTCTTCCACACTTCTTATAGAACAGTGTTGTGGAATTAGAGCGCATCAGAGAAAAATAATCGTTAAAATTAAATGTTGTAGGAGTTAAGGGAAGCAAATCGACACAATAACGTTCATTTAGTGCGCGGCAAGAGTAAAGTCAGACAGACAGAAACAACAGACTGAAAGCAAGCAAAAAAAAAGACACAAAGTTATGATAAGATATTTTATTGATCTCTATTTTTTTTTTAAACAAAGAAACAAACAGTGCTTTTAGCTCAGTTTTAGTAAGGTTTTACGAGCGCTCATATGACCTTATGCAGTTGCGAGCGCCGTAAAACCTCTACTAAAACAAACAAAAGGTTTTACGGCATATAAGGTCATATGAGCGCAAAGGGGTGAATGTCAATAGAAAAGTCCAAACGTGGAATCAGGCTTACTCTGTTTACCTCTCTAGCCTGAACAGCACAAAGTCTGCTTCGACCATCAAAGCACCCCAGAAATAGCAGTTCACAGGAAAGTGACAAACATTCAAATTCAAACGAAGTAGAGGAAAATGATGATAGTAAGGATGAGGGGAAAAAAAGCTGCAGTTCCCCCTATGTTGTTGCGCACAGTATGAGCATGACATTGATAAATCAGCCCATTTACTATTCTACTATGCATATAAACATGTTAATATCCCTCCTTTGGGATTGGCCGAAAGATACTTGTCAATAGCACTGCCCTTGGGGGGGGGGGGTGCAATTGTAAGAAATAACACAGAAAAAAACAACTGCAATAAATGTACTAAAATGTTTGGGGAAAGAAATCTTGTACAGATTATAAATTCGAAAGAAATTGACTTTTCCTTTTTTTTCTTCGTGAAGTTTGTACACCAAACACACTCTCGAGGACAATAAGCTTAGTATGCTGTCATCCACACTGTATTAAAAAAACATGCTGATGGGCTTGAAGTGTGTAATTGTGTGTGTGTGTGTGTGTGTGTGTGTGTGTGTGTGTGTGTGTGTGTGTTTGTGCGTGCGCGCGTGAGAGAGAGATGTGTGTGTGTGTATGTGTAGTTGTGTGATGTGTGTGTGTTTTGATGTGTATGTGTGTTTGTGTTTGTGATGTGTGT